CCGTGGGTCGACATTATGGCTGTGGCCTGGGTCCTGCTTGGCTCCTCCTGCTCCAGGCCCCTCCTGTCTCCTCCCTGGCTCCTCCCTCCTTCGTCACCTCCCAGGTGTCCGTCCTCCTCCGGAATCTCCTCCCAAGTTCCCACCCACGCCTCCCTCTGTTGTTGCTATGGTGCGAGGACGCACCTTCCGGCGTAATGTGTAATGTCAGGATCATGGACGGTCTGTGTCATGTTTTGCCCCTGTTTCTGTTCCCTTATTGTTCCTGTCCCCTGTCCTCGTTTTGTTAATTAGTGTACTTAGTCATCCCATACACCTGTGTTTCCCCAATCATCCCCTGTATTTAAGTCCTAGTCTGTGCAGTCTGTCTCGGTTGGTTCTACTTGTTATGTTCATGTGTTTCCTGCTGTTCACAGTGTTGGATGTACCCTGTGTTTCTTGGATTAAAGACTATCTCGTTTATTCCTTGTCTCCATCGTTCCTCGCCATCACAGATTGTGACAGATTACACGTGAATTACTTCTGTTTAATATTTAATTTTTACTTATGTTTGTTAAATGAGTTTAAATATTGGCAATATGTATAGCCTACGTATTAAAAACGATATAAACAATATTGTAAATTATATAGGCCTAAATAAAGGAAAATAAAGGAAGTTATCATGCAAACCAGTGTTTGTGTGGAGTATTTTACAAAAGTTTAGAGGATTTAAGTTAATCTGTAAACATTATTTAATATCTGAAGTAAAAAATAAGCTAGTAGCTTATTATAGTAAAAATGAATCAACTCATTAGCTGGGTTAAATCAACCCATTATGCTGGGTTAAATAAACAACCCAATTTGCTGGGTAAATTTAACCCAAGATGGATTCTGTCCTATATTTACCCAGTTTTTTTAGAGTGTACTATTTAAGCATTTGAGTAGGTTTTTATTCTTCTTTTTTGAGAAATTAATACTTTTATTCAGCAAAGATGCATTAAAGTGATGAAAAGCATCACTATTTTACTATGCATCAAATAATTCAGATTCCACAAAAATATTAAGCAGCACAACTGTTTTCAACACTGACAATAAGAAATGTTTCTAATGAGTGCCAAATCAGCATATTGGAATGATTTCTAATGGATCGTGTGACACTGAAGACTGGAGTAATGACTGCTGTAATACTTGTAATAATATTTCACAATATCACTGTTTTACTGTATTTTTGATCAAATAAATGCATCCTTGGTGAGCATAAAAGACTTCTTTATAAACATTAAAAATCTTACAGATTTTGAACGGTAGTGAAACTCATCTATGAGTGCATGTCTGTACATATTGGCTATAGTTTGTTTACAAAACTGTCACCAAAAGTGACATAAATCTCATCAAACTTCTCTTTTGGAATGTTTTGATTACACCCTCAATGTAAAACTTGATTTATTTAATAATTACTAAAAATGTTCGGCTCCACCGTGGGTCGACATTATGGCTGTGGCCTGGGTCCTGCTTGGCTCCTCCTGCTCCAGGCCCCTCCTGTCTCCTCCCTGGCTCCTCCCTCCTTCGTCACTTCCCAGGTGTCCGTCCTCCTCCGGAATCTCCTCCCAAGTTCCCACCCACGCCTCCCTCTGTTGTTGCTATGGTGCGAGGACGCACCTTCCGGGAGGGGGCGTAATGTCAGGATCATGGACGGTCTGTGTCATGTTTTGCCCCTGTTTCTGTTCCCTTATTTGGTCATGTTCCTGTCCTCGTTTTGTTAATTAGTTTGATTAGTCATCTGCGTTTCCCGCGTTTCCCCAATCATCCCCTGTATTTAAATCCTAATCTGTGCAGTCTGTCTCTGTCGGTTATGTTCATGTTTCCTGCTGTTCCCAGTGTTGGATGTACCCTGTGTTTCTTGGATTAAAGACTGTTTCGTTTATTCCTTGTCTCCATCGTTCCTCGCCATCACAGATTGTGACAGATTACACGTGAATTACTTCTGTTTAATATTTAATTTTTACTTATGTTTGTTAAATGAGTTTAAATATTGGCAATATGTATAGCCTACGTATTAAAAACGATATAAACAATATTGTAAATTATATAGGCCTAAATAAAGGAAAATAAAGGAAGTTATCATGCAAACCAGTGTTTGTGTGGAGTATTTTACAAAAGTTTAGAGGATTTAAGTTAATCTGTAAACATTATTTAATATCTGAAGTAAAAAATAAGCTAGTAGCTTATTATAGTAAAAATGAATCAACTCATTAGCTGGGTTAAATCAACCCATTATGCTGGGTTAAATAAACAACCCAATTTGCTCGGTAAAATTAACCCAACATGTGTTCTGTCCTATATTTACCCAGCCCTTGGGTCAAAAACTACCCAAATTGGGTTGTTTTTAACCCAGTGTTTTTTAGAGTGTAGGTTTTTGTTATGCCAATTTTCATAATGTAGACAGGGCGAGTGTATATCTGAAGTCTTTGGCGTTTTATTTAGCCTCTAATTGATATCCTGTTATAAATCTGTACACTAACGTTAGATGAGGTAAAATAAACCATGCATACGAGTCAATATTCTATTGATTTGTGCTTATTGGTGAAAGAGCAACTTCTGATGAAATGTAAAAATAAACTTCCCAAATGACAACAATCATTGCAATTAAAATTGAGCAAAATAATATATATTTTTTCATCATTTTAACAATTATACAGTAAGACGAAAATATGACGAAAATGTGCACGTTTCCACTGACTAAAACTAGATAAAAATTCTCAGACATTCGACTAAAACTTCTCTAAAACTAAAACAGGACAAGCTGACTAAATATGATAAAAACTAAAAGTTACATTTGACACAGGACTAAGACTAAGACTAAATTTAAAATAGCTGACAAAATGAACACTATTATTGTCTCCCAAAAGAAAGAATCGACTCTGAATAGCCTATACGAGTCATCAGTTATTTTAATCCCACTTCTGTGACGGCTGCATGTAATGTTCTACGTTGGCCGACCGCAAACAACTTGACCTGCCCTGAAACACTGTAGCTTGTTCATGTAATTAACATCATGTCAAGAAGACGCTGTGTCCTACTCTGTGACAGTAAATTTGTTTTATTTATTTTCACTTCCGAAAGATGAGGCTGCAAAGAATCAGCGGTCAAAATTAACTTTTTCCACTGTACCACCACAGTACAACCCCAGTCTTTTTTTTTTGTGTTACCGTCATTTTACTGACGACTGCTTTTCTAATCTCGGGGAGTTCAATGCAGGATTCACAAAACGTTTGCTCTTGAAAGGGGTCATATGACGTTGCTAAAAAGAACATTATGTTGTGTATTTGTTGTAATACAATGTGTTTATGCGGTTTAAGGTTAAAAAAACACATTATTTTCCACATAATGTACATTATTGTTGCGACGAGACAAAACCAATAAAACCCATTACAAACGAGGCATTTGTTGCATCCAGTGAGGACATGATTACTGATTATAATGACTTATACACGTTGCGTATCGCGCGGCATAAACATAAAACCATGTCTGCATTTGTGATCGGAGAAACGACAAACAACAAGCGCTACTCTACACTG